ATATATTGAATAGTTTGCAAAAAATCTTCTAATATACTGAACATATACTTCATATACACACCACATATACAGTCAGCTTATACACTCAACATATATTGCTTTGAACATATATGCATGTCTACACCCGCAACATATACTGCCATGAGCATATACTGTATATATACTGTAGATATATTGTACATATACTCAACATATTTGTGTTGTCATAACTCATGTAGATATGTATATATACTAGAGATATATTGTACATATACTCAACATATATTGTACATATCCATCAAGTCCCAGGTATTTTGCATTAGCTGCATCCACCGCCCACAACCCGCTTTCAAACCCAAGCATCGAGTTCAACAGACCCGACAAAATCTTCCCCGGCAGCGAGCTTCTCCTGTTGAAAAGCTTCGACATTTGCCCAACAAAAACAACATTAAAATTAACAAAAACACTTAAAATCAAACTAGTGTACATTTTCATATGAAAAAAAGAAAACAAATGAAGTACCAGATTAAAGTCGAGGATATCCGATTGGTACTTCGTAACTTTGAGGAAGATTAGCTTTTTGTCTCCTTTGCAGTATTTCAGCCGAAAATCGGACGACAAATCGAAGCCTTTGCCGAGGCTAGCCAGAGCTCTCTCCACAATACCTCCACTCATCTAGTATTTAGTCCCTAATTCATTCTTCTCTGTCTAAAAACAAAACTGGCTGCTGCAAAATTAAGAGGAGTTTGAAGTGTTTGGAAGAGAGAAAAAATATTGTTGCGATTTAAGATCTACTCGATATATGGGCGATGAACGATGGAATTTCTGCGATTGAAGATCGGTGGGTGGTTTTTTAGGATAATCAATTTATTTTGTTGTTTCCTTTTGTTTAGGTAAGTGTATATTTAATCTCACATAAATATCTTATTACCATTAAAAAAGAGATAATGACGGTTACATAATGTATAGATATAATTGAAAATATTTTAACTTTTTTAGGTAATTTTAAAAATAATACTTTAAAGGCTACAAAAGTGTAATATATTTTAAATGAGCTGATATGGAGTGTAATATATTTTAAATGAGCTGATATGGAGTGTAATTCCCTCATTACAAAAACAGGTGAAAGCCTGTAGGCCCAACAACGGAAAAATCTGGCCCAAAAACAAAAAATAAAGGATAAAAAAGAGAGAGAGAGAGAGAGAGAGAGAAATTAACGAAAGCGTGAACAGAAGGGGAATTAGGGTTTTGAAGAGGAAAAGCAAATGCCGAAGAACAAGGGAAAGGGAGGGAAGAACAGGAAAAGGGGTAAGAACGAAGCAGATGACGAGAAGCGTGAGCTCGTCTTCAAGGAGGATGGACAGGAGTACGCTCAGGTGCTCCGCATGCTCGGCAATGGCAGGTGCGAAGCCATGTGCATCGACGGCGTCAAGCGCTTGTGCCATATTCGCGGGAAGATGCACAAGAAGGTGTGGATCGCCGCCGGTGATATTATCCTCGTCGGCCTCCGTGACTATCAGGCATTAAATTCTCTCTCTCTCTCTCTCTCTCTCTCTCTCTCTCTCTCTTTCTTTTTTTGCTCGAAAGATTGTATTTTTGCTTTCAAAGCTTATATGTTTTTTTGGGGGCTGGGGGGGTATGTTTATCTGATTCTTGTCTGTCTGCTTTATTTATCTGGAATTTGTGGTGGGTTATTTTTTCCCTTTCGCCTTCATCAGCTGAATTAATTGTTTTTGGATATAATTTAGTGTTTGTGTCCTTGTGCTGTTGTGCTCTTTTCCATTGTGTTTTTGGATATAATTTAGTGCTCGTGTCCTTGTGCTGTTGTGCTCTTTTCCATTGTGTTTTTGGATATAATTTAGTGTTCGTGTCCTTGTGCTGTTGTTCTCTTTTCCATTGTGTTTTTGGCAATTGTGCTCTGAAGTGATTTTGGGAGGTCGAGTCGTAATGAATGCTGGGAACTTGGTAAGTTGGGAAGAAGTTTTTCTGTGATATTCTAATCGGTGCCACAAATTCTTGTGTGAGGCTCTAACTGTTACGCAATTCGGCCCATCATTCTTTTTCGACAAAAATGAATACTTATGCAGCTATGAAATGTCAGTTTTGAAAGTACGTTCACGTGTTAAGAAAGTATCCATTGCAGCCCGCCTAATTTTCCTTCTTCTTTTTTTGGTTGATCTTTTGTGAATAGAGAAGGTTTTCTATGATTGATCATTGATACGAAAACTAGTTTGCAACATAAGATGCACAATGAGTGTTTATTTTTCGAATGCAACGTTGACATTCGGACTTTTGCTTTCACAGCAACTGACCTGAAGTTTCGAATAGAGTTACCACAAAAAAATAACCTTTGCTACACTTTCCCAAAAGGAGTTGTGCCTTTGAATCTTTTAAGACTTTAACTATACCGGTACTCATCCTAACAGTTAAGATTTTTTGTGAAGCATACACACAACTAAACACATCAGTTGAAGTGAGTATATTTTTTTTCGTATGGTGTTACGAATGTGACTTGGGCTTATTACAGTTATATGTTCTTTCTTGTCTGGCATACAGGATGACAAGGCAGATGTGATCTTGAAGTACATGCCCGATGAAGCTAGACTATTGAAAGCATATGGCGAACTTCCAGAGACCACTAGGCTTAATGAAATTACCGGGCTTGACGAGGAGGATGATGGTCCTGGTGATGATTACATTGAGTTTGAGGACGAGGACATTGACAAACTCTAGAGAGCTTTGTGTAAGAACTCAAACTTGTCTTGAGGGTCCTACTGGTTTGTTTCTTCAAATTGACAAAGTACAGATTTTTATCTTTTGTTTGCGTTTTGAGTGACGAGTTCAAGTTTTGTGGGATGTTATTTCATATGATTATATGCATGGTTGCGATAATAACATGGATGTTACATTGTTTTGCTCTTGTTCTTTAAAATATTAGTTGTGTTCTTCATTAAGAAAAAAGAGAGAGAAATATGTTAAGACCTTGAAGCAAGGTTGTGACGATATGGGTCGCCGATCTTTTTATTTTTAAATAAACAATTTTTTGTTATTTCAATTCAACCTGAAAAATGCATGTGATAACATAAGGAGTAGTGAGGGTTTTAAATGAAACGTGTTGCTCGTGGGCTCAGAGTTGGTTCATCAATGGAATGCTTGGATATAATATTTCTTGGTTTTGTTTGGTCAAAATAATTAAAGTTGACTTGATTAAAAGTACGAGAGAGATGATATGAAATAATAATTAATTAAAATTATGTGAGTGAATGAACAATTCATGTAATGTTTAAATACGACTAATTGATTATTTACTTATATTTATAATAACATTTTTAACAATAAAGCTTCATAAAAACTCTTTTCTTAAGCATGTAACTAATTTAATATTAATGTATTTGCATTATAATAGTTAAACCTTAAAAATGAGGTTTATAAACCTCTCCAAAAACTACTATGAAAGATGCTCTAATATTGATGATAGTAAGGTTGCGTTAAGTTGAATAAAAAAAAATAGTTAAGTTAAAAATGTTCAGATATTGCTATCTTGTATCCAAGCAAGCACTTAGGCTTGAATATAAGAGCATCTGTATATTTTATCGAAATTTTAGCATAATTCAACAAGCAAGCTCGAGCTCGTGTATTGGTTCGATAGGGCTCTCGCCCGAGCTTGAGTATTAAAAGCTCAAGCTCGGTTCCTCTCATATACAATTACAGTTCTGAGAAGCACTGGTTCAAATGCAGTATAAACCATTAAATACTTTCGATTATTTTTATGACAAGAACAACTCGTTCAGATCAACTGAAAACTCGAACATGTATTATCGAAGTTCCAAAAAGAAAGCACACTAAACCGCTTCCCATCCAACTTAGAGGCAATGTTGATAACAATAGTAGAAAACCAAGCCATTGCCAAGAAAGATGGATTATTTAAGGGACTGGATAACCATGTTATCCCGACCTACATGAACCGAATTCAAAAAGGGGTAACGACTAACAAGAATAGGCCACATTACGGCCTTCGCTATGGCAACAGTCAACCACGAATACAAAGGAAATTAAACCAAATTGCTACGAGAGAGAGAAAAATAAACAACTGAAATTTCGAGCTTATTGCCCGAGCATCTTCAATTTGTCCAACTGCGGATTTCGGAACCACAAACGGCAACAGAGAGTTATCCTGGTAAAGGGGCAAGAGACACGATTATGATCATATATAACTTCACAACTAAAATAAAGAATGTT